TGTTGTTTTTTTTTTTTTTTTACTGTACATCCCGAGTAGCAAATTCTTTTTTGGTTTTGAACGAGTCTCTAGTGGCTTCTCTTAATAAGTCTATCCGTCTATCTGTCTGTCCACATGTATTTTGAGGATATGAGTCAAAATCCTTTTATGGACCCCAAAAGTCCCAGAACGCTGACGATTGGATTGATATCAAAGAGTCTGTTGAACAAAACAAAGGGAAAAATGGACTCAGGATATATATTTGATGTATGTTTAGCAAAGACTATAAGATATGAAAATGTGCTTAAAGGTCAGTTTGCACACGTGCAGTGCAACAGTTTCTGATAAGATGAAATAAGTTGTTGTTTAAGGGAGCTGATGCATGGCTTCATCAGAAATTTATTTCAACTGTAAATTTAGAGGTGTGATGCAATTTTAAAATGTTGACATATGGAGTAAATTCATTCTTGTACTTTACAAATTACCGCTCGTTAGTCTGTCTTGCAAAGCTTACAGCTCATGATTTTTCAGGTTTTGCAATTGCAATTGTTCCTGTTTTCTTTTCTGGTGGTCATGACTTTATCTTGGACAGTTCCGTCTTTCGCAGTGATGTGTAGGAATGACATTTGCAGCTAATTCTTTATAAATATATATTTTTTGCAGCATATCCCTAGCAGTTTGTTAACCATTGTATTGATTTTTAAATGAATAAGGCCCAGCATGTTTACTTTTGAAGCACACATTTTAAAGAGGATTCATTTTGTAGTGAAAGACACAAAGCAATGCTTTCAGAAGTCCCCTCGTTTTTTTGGTTTAATTTACAATTGTGACAAAAATGTTATTAACTCTTAAAGTTTTTATTATTTTTGTTCAATATCTTTCTTTCTGGTAAAGCCACTTGTTATTTTCTTATATTGTTTGAGTAGCCAAACAGAGTGTATTATATTTTTACTTTAAATAGATAACTGGGGGTAAAATGTTATAATTTAAACTAGGACAGAAATCAGAAATCCTATGTTTTCAAACAATTAACTAGAATATATTGTCAATAATAGAAATATAATACATTATTAATATTTTTTAATGAATAGATACATGATGTATTGGACATCATGTATGTGTATTGTGTTATTATTACTAGTATTTAAATAAGTATTACTTCCTGCAAACTATTTGCGTACAATCTGAACAATAAGTAAGACAATAGGTAACCTTTAATACTTACATATACATCATGACATCCACTGTGGCTCGTGAGTATGGCGTACAAAATCCCTCAGAGTTCGAGTGGTCGGAGAACGCACATGTATCTGCTCAGTGTTTAGCGTCCTCTCCCTCCTCCTTTAAGTCGCTCACACTCCACTGCAGCCTGTCAGCGTCTGTCTGTCAACTTATGAGGTCAGAGTTGGAGCCACGCTGTCTGATACCACTGCTCATATTCTTAAACATTTATAAATAATTATAAATATTCAAAGAAAAAAACATTTACAAAGAGAAGAAGTCAGAGCGAGGCCAAGCGACTGGGAAACGTAGATGTATGGGTTTTTTTTGATTGGAAGTTGCTCCTTTGAACGAAGACACACTCAAAACGTGGAGATGGAAGGTGCGGGTCTCCGCCATCACCCCCTGTCCATATGTCAATCTCGTCTCTCTCCCTCTCTCTGTCTGTCTTTCTCTATCTTTCACCGTCCTGCCTATCCTTTCCCTCGCTCAATCTCTTCGCCAAGAAGACACAATGCTGTCGCTGGTTGCCAGAGTTCTGGTACTGGCAAATGTGAGGTGGGAGAGAGAGTGAGAGAAGGGGGTGGGGGTGGGGGGTGGGAGAGGAGGGGAGAGAGTGAGAGAGAGAGAGCGAGAGGGAACCGTGTTGCAAGGAGAGTTTTCCGCTCCCTGCTGGACAAGAGGATGTGCTAGTACAATATGGTGGCTGCTGATAAGAGCCTCAAAAGCTGCCTGTGGCCTGTAGATAAGGAACCTTCACCACCCCTCTTCCTCCACCACCAATACCAGCACACACACACACACACACACACACACACGAATAAGCAGGTTCACGCCTACATGCATGTACGCACACATACACACGGCACTGGACTGGTCAGTCCCAAACTTTGAAGGGATCTGGATTATTTCCAAGAAAATATTTGCAGCTGCACTTATATAACAATATATTAAAGAGACAATGTGGCTGCTGCTCATTCATGCACGTGCTTTCACAAATATGCCTGTGTGTTTTAACACACACATACATTGTATGCATGCACAGCATGGCCACTTGGGATATCTTTGTTTAAAATATCAGCCCTTAAAGCTTGTTGTCACATTCTGATTAGCACAAAACCCCTCAAATGATGGGCATTTAGAGCAGACAAACGTGTTCTGTTTGTTGGATTTAGACCACATTTGAATGACTGAATGAGGAAATTAAACAAACGGGTATCTGAAGTTAACAACTTATTTCAGTTGAAAAAGATAAATGTCTCACTACGATCAAAGGTCAAGCAAAGAAAGGTCATCTCTTCAGGTTGTATATACTTTGAATGTGTTATATGTTTGAATAAGGCTTTCACGATTATCTTGGCTCGACAACAGAGTAAATGTCAAAATAATTGACAGGGTGCTGAAAAACATTGTTAATCACCTTAATCTTCACTGGTATAGATGTTACGTACACAAATGCTCTGTATTGGACTTTAGAGATTTTTGGTCTGTGTTTTTTTTACTATGACATCAGAGCACACCTGTGCCGCCGCCGACCGATAGATAAGTCGTCATCACGGCAATTTTCCTCTCCAAGAGCTCCCAAACTTCCTTCCTCAATTTGTCTCTCACCCTTTCTCCTCTTCGCTTGTCCATTCCCGTCAAATTCTGCCCAAACTCCCTCTCTCTCTTTCAACCTCAGGGTCAGCACTTCTATTACATTGCCTCAGTCATTTCCTTCTTAGACAGACTGAAACACAAACATTATAAAGGCTTTACAGTTACCTGACCTTCAAGGTCCTGGGAAGGAAAAGTGTTTGCTGAACAATTGCTCAGCAAATCTGTCACCACCTTCATCATCATCATTTTATTAGTTGTATTTTTTTTCCCTTTTCACCGTAATCACCTTAAACATCATTGTTGTCATCGCTATAAGCAACTGCTGCATGAACAATAGTCCTTGTAGAATCAGAGTACAGACGGTGTCGTCTGCTGGTCCTGGTCGTCACACTTTTTTGCTTCCACAGCTGTGGTTCCAGTTGATCACTCTCTGTGTGCTAGAATAACGCGGTGGCACCGTTGCGCCTGCAGATGCTGCATAAATTTGCGTGTAACATATAAAAAGCTACACGGGGGACAGACAGAAATCCTTTGGGATTAGCTTTTTCCTGTGCTTTACAGTATGTGTTCCTGTCACACAGTTGTATTGTTAATAACGTTTTGGTTCATTAAAGATGTTCACTTTGCTTCCGCTTCATTTAGAGATTATTTTAAAATAAGATACAAACAAATGATAATGTGCATAGTTTCGCTTTTTGACTGATTGTCGTGTTTAGAAATTTTAAAAGTCGGGACGGGTAAAAGAAGTTGGGACGAGAGGGCGTGGGGCAGGTTTAGAAATGAGAAAAGATAGATAAACATGAAAGTTTTATATCTCCACGTGTTACCATGTCTTTACATTAATTTACTCATTTATTTACTGCAATGAAAGTACAGTTCAAGTCTGGATAAAAAGCACTTTGCATAAAAGTAAGAGGAATTTGTATATGATACAACACTGTGTCACATAGTGAGTAACGAATCATTTTACAGTTCGGATTTCCCCTTCTTCAGGTGAAACCCTTCTCAGACAGTCACAGTTTTCTCGGGACCAGACTGTCTTATTTAAAGCCCCATGTGAACACTCGAACTGTAAATGGGGAATAATAATAGAAACAAACGATAACAGGCAGCTTCCGCTTTTCCCTTGAGTGAGGAAGAAATCAAGAGATGATTGTTTTAATCTCAGCGCGGTGCCTGTCACACCCTCCTCCTGGCTACCTTAAAATACCCCGCTCAATAAAAAGAGCATCAATAGGGGAACCTTTGTACGTGTGTGTGTGTGTGTGTGTGTGTGAGAGAGAGAGAGAGAGAGTGTGTGTGAATGCACCTGCAGAAACACTGATCTCAAAGAGTTGAAAATGAAAATGTTTTAAACAAAAAGCTTTGGATCCAGTAGAAAATAGGCTCCATCAGCAGCATTCAAAACTGCCAAAATCTAGATCCATCTGCTATTATTTTTTAGATTTTATTTAATGTATTTATTTATTTACTTATTATTTTTAGTTATTTCGTTTTCTATGCTGGTCATTTGTAAGAAATGTTTTTATAAATTGGTACGGGCAGTTGAACACAACAAGCCATTTAAACAAAGCCAACCTTTAAGGAGAAATGAGGCCACTGTCATCATCATGATGAACACAAAAGAGTCTTCAGATAGGAGTTATGCATTGCTACACTGGTATAAAGTACATATACAGTATACGTATACTTTATTAGGCATACCTTGCTAGTACTGGGTTGGACCCCCCTTTGGCTTCAGAACATTAGTCATTAAGGGTGTGGCATGTGGTGTTTAAAAAAAGCTCAGTTGGCACATGAAGATATCCTACACGCCATTACACCACTACTAACACCTTGAACTGTTGCTACAAGGTGTTTGTGCCAAATTATGACCAGGCCATGTTTTTCCAGTCTTCTTTTGTCCACGTTTGGTGATACCGCATGAAGTATGCTCAGTTTCCTGTACTTGGCTAACAGGAGTGGCTAGTCTCTGTAAACTCTAGAGATGGATGTTTGGGAAAATCCCAATAAATCAGAGGTTTCTCAAATACTCAGATCAGATCTGAGCGACAAACATGCCACATTCAGAGTCACTTAAATCACCTTTCTTCCCAAACTGATGTTCAGTTTGAACCTTATCAGGTCATCTACATGCCCAAATGCATTGAGTTGCTGCCATGTGGTTGGCTGAGTAGATATTTGTGTTTACATGGAGATAAACAGGTGTACCCCATAAAGTGGCCAGTGAATGTATGTACATGTTTGGAATAAACTGCAGTACAGTCTGTTTTTTTGAACCCAACAAACAAGCAAGATCACTTTTTTAACCCCTTTTTATTAGGCCTTCGTGGATCTTGAATATATGCCAGAAAACAGAAACAGGCTCAAAGCTATTGTGACTCATTAGTGCAGTTAAAGAAGCTCATATCCTAGCTTGCCTGGTAGAGTGCTTCACCACCTAGCCCTGCGGGGAGTCTCTCCAGAATTGATTTTTCTCAGAGATGAATTTTACTGTGCCTTTGCCTGGTGTAACATGCCTTTAGAAGTGTGTGTGTGGCCTTGTGACTATGAAGTTACTTCTAGCAGCACAGTAAATATTATTATTTTCCTTATTTTCTGCCTTGAAATGTGTCATCACTGTTTTAATTTGACAGACATCTATCTATCATCTGTGATAATGTTCATGTATTTCCCATTATCAGATTAAAATATACTTGGAGAACTTACAGTGAGCACATGCATATAAATCAGAAAACACATACACACTCCCCAAAGTGGGCTCCATGGCCACATTTCCTCCGCATCATGTAAACACTATTGTGTACCCGGTGATAGGGATCACTGGAACCTAATTGTTTGAGGCAATATTCGCAGTGCATTTCATGGAGAAAGTGACAAACAATGCTGTGAGCGCTGGCCGGGACAGACGCCTCTCTTCTCCTCCTGCTCCGCGACAGATGTCGACTGTGTTTATTTTTCCTGATCGTCCTGGAGACAGGCCATCCAGCCACAGGACACACCAAGGAGGGTTTTAGTTTAGTTAGATATTCAGCACAAAGAAGGAGGATGGGGTTGCATTGCCAGCCTAGAATCTGATCTCTTCCCCCCACATAGCACGGTGTACACCTGATCATCTCCATCAGGACTCAACCTTAAGTATTGGAGGGATCAAGCTACAGGAAAAATAGGAAAGGATTTCAATTCTGTAAACATGAACAAACATTAGAAGATAACACCACTGTAGATGAAAGCACAACACAACACAACACTGGACATTATATCTCTTCATTTCCATTTAATACTTGTACAGCTGCTGTTATTGTGTGTGTGTGTGTATATATATATTTCTCATACATTCTTATATATTTCTATACTGTGTATTGTGTATTTTGTTGTACAGTTATTTTATTTTCAACTTTAATTTATATATTTTATCTTATTCTTTCCCAGTTAAATTTACCCTTCATTCTAATTTGTGTTGTACAGTTAT